AATAATTAAGCTCAGAATACTCATTTTTGCATCAGATCATGCTCTTATTTTCTCGACCTAAAGTTAGCTTCCCATTTCCAGAACTTCGAGATGGCGCGCCTTTCTGGGTCAGGCTCTGGACCGCACTGCCGTTACGACTGCGACTGTACGCATACGGATCCTGGCCGAAGCTGCTGAATCTCTTCGCCCCGTCAAAGCAAAGGCTGTCACAACGAGTGTACAAACTTCCCTTTGGCTTGTATCTCAAAGACGGTTTGACCTCCGCAAGCGCAGAAGCGCACGCGATGTGGCTCGTCAAGCGACATACGAATGTCCCCGCCCCAATGCTGGTCGATTATATCACCTGTGCAATAGAATCCCACGGTTTTTCATATAATGCCGCATATACCCTTATGACTGAGGTACCTGGGCGGCCGCTCAGTGAGGTTGCACACAGTCTATCCGACGACGAGTTGGAGACAATTGGACTGCAGCTACGAGGATACGTCGAGGAACTCCGAGCCATCCCGAACCCGTACCCGAAACAAGTCTGCAGTGCGTCTGGAGGATCCATTGACTGTCCTCGATTTACAGACGCGTGGGAAATTCCTGCGTATGTGGATGTACCTGCATTTTACGCTTGGTTGCGGATGATGGTGGACAAATACTGGGAGATTTGCATGAAAGCAAGGCTCGAGCCGATATTCGCGAAATTCGACGGACCGACGGTCTTTACGCATGGCGACATTGCAGATCGGAACATTATGATCCAAGACGGCAAGATATCAGGATTGATTGACTGGGAGACGGCCGCTTGGATGCCCGTGTACTGGGAATACTACGCATCCCTCGCGGATAACTACTGCCACACAGCGCCGTTCAATAAGATGATCAAGATTGCGCTAAAGGAGCATTATGAGGATGAAATGGATGCAATTGGGCTTATTTCGGCATCACTGAATCCAGGGTTTGATCCTAGCAAGTACTCACGCACTATTGTCGCACCCGGTTCTTCGTGATCAAGATCGAGTTGGTCTAAAGGAGGATTACGGGGATGAAATGCGTGCGATTGCGCTTGTGGGTTTATCAATTACATTGACCGATCTCTGTACAGAGTACTAATATAGTGGTACCTTGGTGTCTTGAATGCGAGAAGAAAGCCGACATTCATTCACGCATTGCCCGTCTATGTAATTGCACTGCTTGCTGGTGCCCCTGAAACCAGTCAAAAAACAAACACGACACTCCTGACATGGAGGCTGCGGAAAGGACTTGGGCGAAAACGCATGATGGCGGTTCGCTGAGCTCAGATGGACAAGAACATCTGCGTACAACGGAGTGTCCATGGGCCATTACACACATCGCCGTATAATAGAGTGAATAACCAACAAAAGGTATCTATGATAACCACAACGTCTTGCTACACCTCAGTCTATGAGGTATTTCCGCCTAAAGAACGCCCGAAGATGGAAAATCTGCCAAACCCCGAGACCGATGAGGCTGACGACCGTGAATAGAGAGAAATTTTGCACGCGTCGGTTCGTGGATTCTGTGATGATAATCAGAAGAGGTCCGTACGATATAATCGAACCGGAGCCGCGCACCATTCGTGTCTCGCATTTTGATTTCCCGTCGCTTCAGGTAGGCCATCTCGTCCGTGATCTCCCGCACCATCCCCTCTAACTTGCGCATCTCCACCTCTAACCCGGAAAGAGATTCTTGATTTGCGATGGCGCTACGAGGATCTCAGATTGGGACGTAAGACCATGCCGACCTGCACGTACTTGTAGTCAATAGCCTCCTCGCCAATATCGACATCAAGATCCACTGCACGTGAGTACCGGCCAATATCCTGCACTGGTATCCCTGTTCAAACAATAAGGGGACGAAATAGCTGGACTGAATTGCCTACTTACTTGAGTCGAGAGTATTGGTAAAACATACACCAAGGTCTCCTTCGGCATGTGTCGTAATGGCGAGCCTCGTCTCGCCACGTACATTCCGCTTCATGAGGTACACGTTCTGGTGATCGCTTCCATCCACCAGACTCACATCTACTCTCTGGTCCGGACCTGGTGCAACATTTGCGGTAACGATAACGAGTACATTCTCGTTCGCGTGGTTCCAGATGCATTTCTCCGTTGGGTACTTGACACCCGGTAGGTCGAATTTTATACCTTCTGTTAATGGAGAAAGGCCCAAGATAAGTAGCATTAGCATGATAAAGTCTCGCGGTCGCGGTGGTCGAAGTAAAGAAACGGAGGTCGAGGCTGCAAACATTGCGTAGCGGAGTCGAGCCGAAGAGGACGTGGATGTGTGTGAGGTAAGAGCGCTTCTGGTGTCAGGGCATCGCGAGGTTTTGCTTCCGGGGAACTCCCTGGCTCAACGAAGTCGGTCGTGTGTCATCCGTTCATCTATTGTGCTGATCAACTGGCCACCATGGATAGCACATTTTTCAAGGGAACATCGACTGAGCAGGTATGGGCATGACTATTAACGTGGTGATCCTATTTCTGACCTCTTCTACAGGATCGTCGGTTTTCTGATAAAGAGCTTCGTCTTCTGAAGACGCTGAAGTTCCCACCCGAGTTCGACAAAAAAGTGCATTTTATTTCCACCTCCTATCAGTCAATTGTTCATTCATTTATATCCAGGTTGAACTCAAGAAAGTTAATATGTCCGTCATGAGACCATGGATTACCAAAAAGGTCTCTGATTTGCTTGGCTTTGAGGATGAGGTGGTTATTGAATATGCGATGGGCTTGTTGGACGACCCTAATGTCACCGTGCGTACCAAATACCAACACCGAAGCCTGCTCACATACATGCGCGTTGTATAGACACCCGACCCGAGGAAAATGCAAATCAATCTCACTGGCTTTCTCGAAAGCAAGACTGCTGAGTTCATGTTAGCACTCTGGAAGCTGCTCCTAAGCGCCCAAGAGTCGATCGCTGGCATTCCAGCCGAGTTCTTGGAGGCGAAGAAGGCTGAGCTCCGTGAGAGGCAGCTCACCGATAGCCGTCCTCTGGGAGAGATAGACCGAAGTGCCACGGATCAACCACGCCCTTCCCGGTTTGATGATCGAGGTGACACCAGGGGCAGGGGTCGTGGTCGTGGACGCGGTGGGTACGCTGGTGGCAGGAACGACATTGGTGGAAGAGAGGGTGGAAGGGAGAGGGATAGTGGTTGGGGCGCAAGAGCCAGGGGCCGTGGGGGATACGGAGGGCGGAGCGACCGACCGCGTCACGATGATCGTGACCGTGATGCGCCATCTAGCTTTCGCAGACGGTCTCCGGATGCTCGCGATCGTTCTCCACCGCGTCGCCGCTCTCCATCTCCTCGCCGTCGCTCGCCGTCCGAAAGCCCTGCCAGGCGGCGTCGCTCGCCTTCTGTAACTCCACCTCGCCGCCGTCGCTCTCCATCCACTAGTCCCCCTAGCCGCCGCCGTCGCTCTCCTTCCGTAACCCCTCCTCGCACTCGCAGAAATCGGTCCGATAGTCGTTCACCAGCCCGCTCGGAGACACCGCCTCGTCGCAATGGTGGTCAAGAGCGAGGGTCGTTACGCCGACGACATAACGGGAACGATGAGAATTCCGATAACGAGCGTCGTTCTGGGTCCGTGGGTGCGCGACGTCGCCATCCTGCACCGCATACACGTGATAGGGATGGCACACCTCCACGACGGGAAAGACGACGGCGGGAAAGCTCCTCAGAGTCTCACGATTCATCATCTGACAACAGAACACGGCCTTCGAGAAGACGATACACCCCTGACTCGGAAGATGAGCATACCTCGAAGAAGCCGCGCCGTGAGGCACCCAGTTCTCCCCTGAAGGAAAAACATGCCAAGGTCAGGGACGGCTCAGAGCTTGCCGTAAGTCAACCGCAGTCGTTTCCTTTCGTAGCTGACTAACTGACAGGAGACGTCCAGTGATCCCGCGAAGACTGAAAGCGTTCTAAAAGAAAAGTTACTGCGGCAGAAAGTGATGAATAGTCGGAAGAGTGCACAAAAACACTCGTCGTGAAGCTAGGTGGAGGTGTGGGAGATGTAGTTATCATAAGGCTTGATTGCCATTTCCGTCGTGCTATCTGCTACATGCTCATCAATACACAGCATAACATTCATTTGAATACCCACGCCGATATATTGATTGACTTGCGCCGCTTTCATTTGAATGTTGCTACCAGATGCTGACTACGGGCAGAAGGTTTGTAGGTCCCTGGCACGGGTTGTTTTGTCAGACGAGAAAGGCTTCCCGTAGGGGTGACCTCATCACCTGACGAAACCTGGCACCCGGTTATTTGAACTCATTTCAATAGGCACCATCCGGTAATTATCGCAAGTCAGTCCTCAATCCATATGGACTCATCCGAGTCAATGTCATGGATTCCAATGCGGTTGCTCAGAACACGCGTCGTTGTCTCAGAACTGTTGAGCTGGGAAAATTCCCGAATCAAAAATGTACAGCACGGTACCTCAGTACGTCATGTTTTATTGTTAAATGGCTAATCAAGCTATGGTAAGCGGAAAGTCTCATTCGACGTTGAATTCGATCAGTGTGTGAATGTCGGAAGACCCTCCATTGCACGATCCCCACTCCGTCTCATGGTTCCTAGTTCTGTGGCGGCAACCCAAGGACTACTGTATTGGCGCTTTTGGTTGGAATATGCCCTCGCTATCTAACAGCTGCACGCAACAAGATTACAGTTGCTCTAATCTTTCGAGACCGACGCCTTATTCTGCACAGGGCAGAGCCATTGTTGGTTATAGCTCACTTGCCTGACAGAAACGGCCGTCTCCACCCAACGGAGCTCATTCTCAGGGTCATCCTGTGGGCATTCAGGCTGTATTCCCCCTGGACTACTTGCCACCATCATCCTCGAACATCCTGGCAACGTGTCTATTTTTTCTGCAAGACTTGGGATTGGATGTGCCTCTTCTGCCTGGACGCCTTGTGAACGTACTCCCGGTTATGTCCCGACAATGAAAACTCAGAATGTATAACCACCGCTTCTGGTGGACACTGCTTTAGGACTGCAGAACGGTCGGAGTTCATTGGATGAATTGTAGGTTCTGTTGCGGCTCTCAACGCACGATCTTTTTTCCTTCGATCACCGTCGTACCATAGACGGGATCGGCGTTCATCTGATGAACCGTAGCTTCTGGTACACTTATGAACATACGATCTCCGAGTCTGCTTGCGATCAACCCTCTGTTCCAGCTTCCAAACTGACTTTCGGATGCCAGCGTGGCAACGTGAAGTATGGAGGAGTACAATTACCCTTGTATCTGGGATCCGGAGAACTTCTTTGATCGGGAAAGAATGCATGCTGCGGAAGCTTGTGATCGACGTCCAATAAGCCGCAGGCCATGGTACACGATCTCTTGCGAACAGAGAAGAGGAACAAGTGTGGTTTGTCGCAATATTTAACGTCGAAGACTGGGCACCCAAGTTCCTTCAGTCGTCTGGACTACTCCTCATCGTGACCTAGTACTATGCGATTCTCAGCTCTCGCTATCCTTGCCGCCGTGCCTTTAACGGTCGACGCTTACCCTCAGTACGCCAAACGCTATGCGTCACTGAACGGGGAAAAACGTGGGAAGTATCCCATCCTGAGGCGTGCGGCTGCACCGTACTCCGACCAGTTCCCGTACACTGGAGCCAAGCTTGACGGACAGGCGGGCACCGGCAAAGGTGGAGTTCAAGTGCCTGCTCCTGGCGACACCGACCACGAGTACCAAGATCCTCCTCCTGGCGCTTTCCGTGGCCCCTGGTAAGCTCCCCTCAACCTCTTTTCTCAGCTGGCTGATGCGGGGCGCAGCCCTGGCCTAAACACGCTTGCGAACCATGGCTTCCTCTCTCGTGATGGCATCACCACCTATGCAGAAATGGTGGCCGGCCTTCAGAACGTTTTTAATGTACACTTTCCCACGGCGGTGGTGCTCACCCTGCTCGGCTTTGTCTTCGATGGCGACCCCGTCTCCGAGATGATCTCAATTGGTGGGGAGGCCGTCGATCGCACGGGTCAACACGGGAAATTCACGGGCCAATACGGGGGGGTGAGCCGGCATGGCACATTCGAGCTGTGAGTGCAAGCAGAGAGTTCAAATTAGAATGCCCTGTCTCACTTGCGTGTGCCCTAGCGATGTTTCGCTGGCGCGGAGCGACTTCTACCTGAACGGAGATGCGTTCAGCTTCAACGGTACTCTGTTCGGCCTGATGCTCGAGACTGCGAAGAGTACCTCTTCTTCTGACAACCCGTAAGCTATATTTTGACTTCTTATCGTCGCTCACAACCTGCAGGTTGTTCGACTTCAACGCGATGGCGCTGTGCCGCTCGCAGCAGCACGAGCGTGCACGCGTCGAGAACCCCTGGCTGTACTTTCCTGAGCTGGTGGTAAGTTTCTTCCTCCCCTTCTCTTCCCCGACCATTGCGAACTCCCACAGTTGCACAATTACGGCGCCGCTACTTTCCTGTACGAAGCCTTCCCCTCCTCAGCGAAGAACAATACCCCCGATCTCGAGACCATCTCTTCCTTTTTCGGCGCCGTCTAACAGGCTGACGGTACCTGGGGACACGTGGGCGAGCGCCCACCTGCCAATTGGCACAACAGGGTCACAGCAATGACCCTCGCGGATGTCACAAACGGCATTGACGCTCTTTACGCTGCATTTCCGAAGGAGTTTGGTGGGAATGTGAATGGGGTTTGGATGCCTAATAATCAGACTTTTACGCCGTCCCCTCCAAGCAGCGGAGGGGACGTCGCTCTTCTGTGCTCCACATTGGTCGAAATTTTTGCCACCGCCCGTGAGCCTACGCTTGCTTCCTTTATAATCCTGAATACTGGCTGATTGATGCACAATATAGAGAACTCCCCACAACCATTTGCTATGCTCCAGTTCCTCCTGGAGAAGGCTACTCCAATAATAGCACCTTTCAACTGCGATATTCCCGGTGTCACGACCGTCTAGCCGCCCGCCCGAAAGTTAGGATCAGTTTGAAATCGCTCGCAGTGGAATTCCTTGAATATCGAGGTCTTCTCATTCCAAAGACAATACTATGTGGTTGTTCTAGAAATACAACTTGAATTTCTAAATATTAGTCATACAAGGGTCTCTGCCCCTTTGGGGCTAGGGACTTTATCCTGTTGCAGATCAAGGAAGCATAACAGTGCTGCCAAA